AAGCCTACGGAGAAGATCCAAGAAACCATCAGATCGGCAAAGGACAAGAAGGACCCACTACAGGAGTCTACCGCGTACCGTGTTCATGTATACATTGGAACCGCGAAAACTGAGAAGTCTGCGGTAGCTGACCATGCTCTAAGCAATGGGGACCACAGGATACACTTTGGGAGCTGCAGGTTGCTGTCATCAGTCAACGGCTATCACAATAGACTGGTCAGGGAATCTATCGAGATTCACAAACATCCAGATAACTTCAACAGCAAGGAAGAGACCCTCAGACTCAACCCGATCTGGCACCCGATCCTCAGAAACGCCTGAGCAGTGCCGATCGACATCCCGATGTCAACCGAAGCGGAACAAGCCACGTCACCTACCCTCCGGTATGCATTTAAACACTATGGTATAGGATTCGGCACCAGCCTTAATTTTATTGGTCAATTTTAATTTATTCAACCAATAACAAGCCGGGTGCCGAAATCACTACCGGAGTGTTAAACAGTGCTGAGCATGGGGTCAGAATGTTATCAATTTAAATTTAAATTTACTTACCTTCCGCTAAAAATACGTAAGATAATAATCAACACACGTTGTTTCCTATTACGATATTTAATGATTTTAAAATTAATAATTTGGTTTAGCAATAAGAAAAATTACATGAAAAATTTATATATATTTATATAGGTGAAAAATTAAAGCTTCCGCCTTTTGTTGGGTACTTCGACAAAATTTAAGCAAAGAGGACTCTTTATACTTTTTAATTCTCTCTAGCTTTCAATGGACTTTGCCATCATCATCAGGAGCTGCAATTACAATGATAACAGTAGCAACAAAAGTGTAAAATTGGAGAACTTACATATCTCCCCAAATTTCGACTCTTCACAACCATAAATAGAATCTGTGTTTTGGCCGATTCCACCAGTAAATTTCATTCCACTCAAAATATAATAATTCTCTTCTCACGATTTATTAATAATTGTTAATTTAAATTCCCATTAATTAAAATATAGTTTATTCAACTGCCTCTGGTCGGTTCAACAATTTCTTACATAACATTCTGAAAATCACATCATCTGAAGTGATTTGGCAACGTTTGGCACACGCCCACAATTCATTCCATCTTTCAACACAGACATTGACAACCTTCGGCCTTCTGTCAAAGGTTCACCTCACTCATTATTCCATAACCACCATTTTGTGCAATCATCAAGTGGCTTCACGATGTAATGCTCTAATGTTTTTTAAATAATTTTTAATCTGTTTTTAACTTGTTCTTGTCATATTTTATATAATTTTGACCATTGTACCATCTATCCAGCTCTCACCATGTTACTGGACGTTTCCCTCATCCTATACGTAAACAACAATTAGCAACATCCTCACATACTACTGTAAGTTGAGTCAATTTAAATTCATTTTACACTTTTGTTGCTACTGTTATCATTGTAATTGCAGCTCCTGATGATGATGGCAAAGTCCATTGAAAGCTAGAGAGAATTAAAAAAGTATAAAGAGTCCTCTTTGCTTAAATTTTGTCGAAGTACCCAACAAAAGGCGGAAGCTTTAATTTTTCACCTAATATATATATATATATATAAAGGGTGGTCCATTTAAATTTTTTTTTTTAAAAATGCTATAAAAAAAACTACTAAATATTTTTCCAAATTTTTTTTTTAGTTGAAAGTACAATCCTTCCGATTAAGTATGGAATACAACTTCATTTAAATGACTGCCGCGGCTGGCTTTGCAGTAGCCCATACGGTCAGTCCAATTTTTGACCACATTTTCAATCGTATGTGGCTGTATTTCAGCAATGGCAGCGCGTATGTTCTCTTTTATTTCGCCAATTGTTGCTGGTTTGTTGACATAACATTGGTCTTTAATGGCACCCCATAAATAATAATCTAATGGGGTCAAATCACAGCTCCGAGGCGGCCAAACAACATCAGAATTTCGGCTGATAATGCGATCACCGAAAACACTTCGCAGAAGAGCAATCGTAGCGTTTGCTGTGTGACACGGAGCACCGTCTTGTTGAAACCAGATGTTACCGACATCAATATTTTGAATTTGTGGAAAGGAAAAATTCATTTATCATGGTACGGTAACGCTCACCATTCACAGTAACTGCTGCTCCGGCTTCATTTTCAAAGAAAAATGGGCCAATGATGCCACCAGCCCAAAATCCGCACCAAACAGTCACTCGTTCTGGATGCATTGGCTTTTCTTCGATTGCGTGTGGGTTCTCTGAACCCCAAATGCGGCAGTTTTGCTTATTAACATAGCCGCCAAGATAAAAATGCGCTTCATCTGAAAAGATGATTTTTCGACCAAAATCAACATCTTCATCAAGTTGATTGCAGGCCCATGAAGCGAAGCGAAAACGCATTGGATGGTCAGTTGGCTTCAATTGCTGAACCAATTGAACTTTGTACGCCTTCATACCAAGGTCTTTATGCAAAATTCGACCTAATGATGTGCGTGAAATGTTCAATTGTTGAGAACGTTGGCGCGTTGATGTGCTTGGAGACTCTGCCACACTCTCAGCTACAGCATCGATATTCTCGGGTGTACGCACCGTTTCCGGTCTTTCACGTGTTGGTTTGTCAATAAGAAGACCAGTTTCACGAACTTTTTGCACAAAATACCTCACATACGGTGCTGACGGTGCTTCATTTCTTCCCATTTTTGCACGTAATTTTCGGACACAATCTGCAACATTACCACCACTTTCGAAATATTGTTTTAATATTTCCCAGCGTTGTTCAAGCGAATACACAACCATTTTCGTTAATCGGAATGATATGACTGATGTTCTGTCAAATCAGATGCGAAATAAGTCTTGACATATCCCAAAAAACCAGTAACTCAAAAAAAAAACGATAGATGTATATATAACTTGAGACGTGGTCATTGTCGTCTAGACCAGTTAGGTGAAAAATTAAAGCTTCCGCCTTTTGTTGGGTACTTCGACAAAATTTAAGCAAAGACTCTTTATACTTTCTTTAATTCTCTCTAGCTTTCAATGGACTTTGCCATCATCATCAGGAGAGTAGTATGTGAGGATGCTGCTAATTGTTGTTTACGTATAGGATGAGGGAAACGTCCAGTAACATGGTGAGAGCTGGATAGATTGTACAATGGTCAAAATTATATAAAATATGACAAGAACAATTTAAATCAGATTAAAAATTATTTAAAAACATTAGAGCATTACATCGTAAAGCCACTTGATGATTGCACAAATTAGTGGTCATCTAGATTGCTAGAATGCTCTAATGTTTTTAAATTATTTTTAATCTGTTTTTAACTTGTTCTTGTCATATTTTATATAATTTTGACCATTGTACAATCTATCCAGCTCTCACCATGTTACTGGACGTTTCCCTCATCCTATACGTAAACAACAATTAGCAACATCCTCACATACTACTCTCCTGATGATGATGGCAAAGTCCATTGAAAGCTAGAGAGAATTAAAAAAAGTATAAAGAGTCCTCTTTGCTTAAATTTTGTCGAAGTACCCAACAAAAAGCGGAAGCTTTAATTTTTCACCTATATATATATATATATATTAGTAGAAGTAGTTTATTGATAACATTCTGACACTGTTTTCAGCACTGTTTAACATTCCGGTCGTGATTTCGGCACCCAGCTTGTTATTGGTTAAATAAATTGAAATTGACCAATAAAATTAAGGCTGGTACCGAATCCTATACCATAGTGTCAAAATGCCTCCGGTATAAATACAACCTGCGCACAGTGTTGCCAGAAGTAGCGGAATTCCGCTACTGGTAGCGGAATTTTCAAGTGGTAGCGGCGTAGCAGCGGAATTGGATTTTTTGTTAAAAGTAGCAACTTAGGTACACATGATGGATATTTTTACCAGAAAAAAAAAATGAGTGCAGTTAGTAACCAAATCTAAATACAGGTATCTTTCCAACCGACAGTGGTAACCACCGGTCGGTAATTCTTATTCAACGGAGACACGTATAGACGGGTAGGTGGTAAGAACACAACCTGTGAAGCGTATTTCCAAAGCATGTCTAATAATTTTAACATTTGCTACATGGTAATGCAGATGTCGAGTGGACATTCTCATAGATGGAGATAATCAAAACAAAGAAAAGGAATCGTATTTTACCTTCTACTTTCTTCGCGATACTTATCAAACTGGATACAATACAAAAAAATGTTGCTGCTTAGACTTCGAGTTTGGTGAAAAACATTTAAAAAAATACAAAAATAATGTATATAGTATAGAGAGAACAGAAATGCTACAAGAAGAATCTGATACAGACAGTGACTAAAAACTTCAATTTTTTATGCAAAATAGAAATGGCCTTTAGTCATATGCTTTTTTTTAGTTTCCTGTGATATTTTTTTAATATGACTGTGTGATAAATGTTCTGTTATTTGACAGTTATTTGTAATATTGTATTGTTTTTTATACTCAAATGTTTTATGTTATATTTTATCACGCTGTTTGATTTTTGTTTTCCTTTTTTGACACAACCTGTATAATAAATGCGTCCCTATTTTATGATAGTGCGCCCCCCCCCCCCACTCGTGCTAGCGAAACGTTAGGAAGAAATTCCAACAGACGACGGCCTTTAGATCTGAATCAAGACTGCAGTTTAAATTGACTTGTTACTAACCTATAAAGAGAAAAAACAGGTTTTCGTAGCTAACCTCAATGCACATCATGAATTGTTAAAAATACACCCTTTTTTCAAAATTATCTCTCTCAGTGATTACGCAAATGACAAAATAGGTTTTTGTAGCTAGCTATACCAGGTGATGTATATATTTCTTGATTTGATATGAGAATTAGGGGCCCATCTTGCGCAAGGGTTTAAGAAAAATCGTCAAAGGTTATAGTAAACCTAAAATAGAATTTTTAGTGCTTAGGCAACGCCTTCTATATACTGTAAATAAATTCACTTGAATTGTAAAAATTAAAACAATTTTTCTAAAGATTCTGTCGTTTTGCTTTCCAGTGACTTCCCCAGTCTAAACAAAGACGACGTCTACCACAATAACGAGCTGGCGTTCAGAATTGCAGAACAGTACCTGAACATTCCAGCCCTTTTGGATCCAGAAGATATGGTCGAGTACCAAGTACCAGACCGCCTGTCCATACTGACATATTTGTCACAGTTTTACCAAGCATTTGCCTGTCCGCAGGGTAAGTCAAGAAAAATCTTACATTATTTTTATAACGATGACTACGCAACAATCTGCTACAATTTAACGTACGATAATTTTGACTTGAAAGAATACTTCGTGTTCACCAATTAACACTCTGACCTTACGACATTCTAAATAACATAACCGGGAAGCACCACTTCTAAATATAGACATGATTCTATAATAAACGAGTCTGAACTTTATGCAAAATCCTCATCCTTAACCTTCTTGCATTATTTATTATGCACATTAACATCATGCGGCTTTATTGATGCACCTATTTATTATTTTATATTTGTGTTTACATAAATAAATAGTTGCTTTTTCCATAATCCGTAGTAGATTATTCTTTGGTTATAAATAATGGGATTAGGAAAATAATGCAGTGTTATTTTATTTTTCACTAACGGCCTCGTCGATTTATCTTTTTCAAGTTAAAAAAGTCATCATAGTATTGTTAAACAATTCGTTTGTAGAATACTGTGTATGTACCATAAATTTAGCAGGCGATTCTTTGACAAAAGGTTCATATACACATAGCCCAGCAAATTCTTTTTTCTCAAGATACTGTGTTAAAATTAAAAAAAAAGGGTTTTCGTAAATATCGTTTACCTATTTTATTGTAATTTGGCTGTGGTATTTATAACATTATGGAGCTAATTTAGCCCTGATTTGATATTTATTAAGTCCAGTGGCGAGATCTGAACGAATATTTGTGACAAAAACTGAGTGGCACTGACATATGTCCAATTTTTATTATGTCCCTTGGATTAAACAAATAGAAATACTACTTTTTTCTCTCTTGAATGTTTTTCGTATCTTGCTCAGTTTTCTAGAAAAAAAATTCCACTTAATTGTATGTCCCTGGACCACACAGGGAATATGGGAAAAAGTTTCTTTTGGAAATATGTTTGTACTATACTAAATAACATTAACAACTTGAATTATTCGCTTATCTCAGGTTTGTAACAATATTTAAAAAAAAATCCCCATATTGGGAGGAAAATCCCCCAGTATGGCAACCCTGCTGGACCATCCATCGAAACCGGAAGAGCACCGAGATTCTTGTCAAAATACAGGGTTGCCATATTGTAGGATTTTTTCCAAAAAAATGGGGGATTTTCCAACAAATATGGGGAATTTTTACGTCCCTTGGTGACTTTTTGGGGGACAACCACCTTGTCTATCAACCTACAGTTGACATAAAGATAGAGACGGGTCAGCGTAGATGTTTTGTGAAGATGCGTGCGACATGGTGATAGACAAAGCTGCAGAAAGTAAACATTGTTATTCAGCGGTTGTCAGATTTTCCTAAAGGTGGAATAAAATACCCCAAGAAATATCCAACGATTTTATTTTCCCTCAAACAATTCTCCAATGGTGGTAAAAATTACCCATATTTGGAGGAAAATCACCCAATATGGCAACCCTGCCGCGCCATCCATCGAAACCGGAAGAGTACTGAGATTATTCTTGTCAAAGTACAGGGTTGCCATATTGTAGGATTTTTTCCAAAAAAATTGGGGATTTTCCAACAAATATGGGGAAATTTTACGTCCCTTGGTTACTTTTTGGGGGACAACCACCTTGTCTATCAACCTACAATTGACATAAAGATAGAAATGGGTCAGCGTAGATGTTTTGTGAAGATGGGTGCGACATGGTGATAGACAAAGCTGCAGAAAGTAAACATTGTTTTTCAGCGGTTGTCAGATTTTCCTAAAGGTGGAATAAAATACCCCAAGAAATATCCAACGATTTTATTTTCCCTCAAAAAATTCTCCAATGGGGGTAAAAATTACCCATAAATCACCCAATATGGCAACCCTGCTGGGCCATCCATCGAAACCGGAAGACTACTGAGATTCTTCTTGCAAAATACAGGGTTGCCATATTGTAGGATTTTTTCCAAAAAAATGGGGGATTTTCCAACAAATATGGAGAAATTTTACGTCCCTTGGTGACTTTTTCGGGGACAACCACCTTGTCTATCAACCTACAATTGACATAAAGATAGAGACGGGTCAGCGTAGATGTTTTGTGAAGATGGGTGCGACATGGTGATAGAGAAAGCTGCAGAAAGTAAACATTGTTATTCAGCGGTTGTCAGTTTTTCCTAAAGGTGGAATAAAATACCCCAAGAAATATCCAACGATTTTATTTTCCTTCAAAAAACTCTCCAAGTGGCGTAAAAATTACCCATATTTGGAGGAAAATCACCCAATATGGCAACCCTGCTCGGCCATCCATCGAAACCGGAAGAGCACAGGGACGTTTCTTGTTAGTCAAAATACAGGGTTGTCATATTGAGTGATTTTTTCCAATATATGAGGAATTTTCCAACAAATATGGGGAATTTTAACGTCCCATGGGGAATTTTTGGGGATAACCAACCCTGACTACCAACCTAGAATTGACGTAAGGGTAGAGATGGGTCAGCGTAGATATCTTGTGGAGATGGTTGCGACATGGTAAAAAAAAGCTACAGAAAGAGAAAATTGTTATTTAGCAGTTAACAGTTTTCATAAAGGTGAAACAAAATTCTCCCGCTGATACACAACGGTTTGAAAAAATTCTCCAAGTGACGTAAAAATTCCCCATATTTAGAGGAAAATCTCTCAATATGGCAACCCTGCTCGGCCATCCATCGAAACCGGAAGAGCACTGGGACGTTTCTTGTTAGTCAAAATACAGAGTTGCCATATTGGGTGATTTTTTCCAAAGTATGGGGAATTTTCCAACAAATATGGGGAATTTTAACGTCCGATGGGGAATTTTTATCTACCAACCTACAATTGACATAAAGGTAGAGATGGGTCAGCGTAGATATTTTGTGGAGATGGGTGCGACATGGTGAAAGAGAAAGCTACAGAAAGATAAACTTTTTATTTATTAGTTGACAGTTTGTCGTAAAGGTGGAATGAAATTTCCCAGGAGATACCAACGATTTGAAAAAATTCTCCAAGTGACGTAAAAATTCCTCATGTTTGACGGAAAATCCCACAATTTGGCAACCCAGCTCGGCCATCCGTCGTAACCGGAAGAGCACTGGGATGCTTCTTGTTAGTCAAAATACAAGGTTGCCATATTGCGGTATTTTTCCCAAAAGATAAGGAATTTTTACATCCTTTGGGAAATGTTTTGGGGATAAAATGTCGTGGTGGATCTTTCAGGGGAAAATAAAGCCGTTAGAAATTTTTGGGGTATTTTATTCCATTTTTAACTCAACTGCTAAATAACAATTTTATCTTTTTGTAGCTTCGCGTATCGTTTTACAGACATGGGCAATCGTAGCTCAAGAAACAAGTTATTCTAACAAGTTTGAAAAATAGTCTCAATCCGTTGGAAACATATATTATTTTTCTTTTTCTACCCCCCACCCCTCCCCCTCTACAAATACAGAAATTGGATTTGGGGGATTTTTTTGAAAAGGGCACAAATATGTTGGATTTTTTGCTCGTTCTGGGGGGATTCTGTTTCTGGCAAGCCTCAAGATACAGTACTGTGTTTTGGAATCAAGCTCAAACATAATTTTTCTGTGCATATTCTGACTGGACTGTCTCGCTCATCGATAACTTGCAAAAAATTTCCTGCAATATACAATTCAACATTTATCCTTGTCGAGCGGTTCGCAGAACCTTTCATATGTCACACAGACCCAGATTGTCGGTTATTACCATTCAACTGCAGGAAAAAATTACCGTTTATCTACGAGCCCGCATGCCTAGCGATACATATATCACAAGCACCTCGCCTTTTGAGAACTTTTTTTTTTCCATTAAATCGCATCCATTTGGTTACGCAAGTCGCGATGCATCGAGACACGCCGAGACAATTGACATACTTTCGAAGATGGTCACGTCGAGGCAGTGATCATTGCAGATCGTTAACATCTCGTAACAAAATGGCTGGGTCGGTTGTTTCGCAAAGGCGGTAATTCAGGATTTGCCAATACAGGCGAATTCTTCCTAAATTGATGGGTTGGTGTCGACGTACGAATGTTGTTGATATAAGATGTTCCACAAGGAATACTACTACGAAGAACAAAGAACTACAGAAATTATGTCCTGCAGATGGAGTAAAGACGAGTAAAACGGTCTTGATTTGAAAAATTACATTGTAGTGTTCTTAACACTTCGTTTAAACTCATTAACAGAAGTTTCAGATACTACTAAACTAGTTATACAGGGTGTCCCAGAAGTCGACATCAAGCCGAAACCGAGTGATAGGCAAAGTCATAACAGCTATCAGAAAAATATTTAAAAAAATATTATGTATGTGTTTTGAAAATTATAGGTCTTTGAAAAAGATATAGAAATTTCACACCCTACGGCAGTCTGTCAACTCCTGTTACTACAAATATTAACTTTTTTTTGGATTTTATTTTTACAATGTAATGATGAATAATGCATCTTCAAACTGGTGTCTCAACCTTACTGCCAACTTTTCTCGTTCAGGAAAAATTGCCACTTATTTCCCAACCAAGTATTCCAAAGTAAAACTTTGCTCAACTTTAACTGGCTGTACTGGAAAAAATGTACTACGAGAGTTTGACCTTAAAAGTTGGCGCATTTAATAACGATTCCAAAATGATATAACACTTAGAAGAAGATTACTCGTTAATTTATGCACAATTTATATTTGAAAAAAAAAACATGAAAATTTTTCAAAATTTCCTAATTAAACAGCGATTATGAAAACGCACAAGGACCCTTAAGGATAACTGTTTGCACAACAGTGGGCGTCAAAATGCTGCTGATGATGATTTACCTTTACAGCAAATGCTCAAACTGTTTTCCTTCAGCCGCAATACACGCTCGACATCTTCTTAAAAAAGATCGGGTTATTAAACGAGCGAATCCACGGTTATTAACAAACTCAGCTACTTCCAATAGTCTTTGCCGTAGCTCAGCTACATTTTGAATCGGCTTGAAACACACTTTTTCTTTTACAGTTCCCCAGTAAAAAAATCTAAAGGATTCAAATCAGGTTATCGGGCTGGTCACGGTATTGTACCAGACCGCCTTATCCATCTGCCTGGAAAGTTTTGATCGAGATACTCTCTCACTGAGAGTGCATAGCGCGCTGGGCAGCCATCATACTGAAACCATATGTCCCTGTAAATACTCAGTGGCACGTCCACCAATAAATGTTGTACATGATTTTTCAAAAAATCCAAATAAACTTCAGCAGTCAAAGTCTCTGGGAACTCAAACGGACCGATTATTTTACCATTTAAAATTCCTGTCCAATGGTTTATCTTGAAGCGATATTGAGATTTATCTTCCCTCATCAAATGTGGGTTTGCTACGTGCCACTCGTGTAAGTTATGCAGGTTCATGTACCCATCTTTCTTAAATGTGGTCTCATCCGACCATAAAATTTTTTCAAAGAACTGTGGATCTTTCCTGTGTCTTTCTAACATTGTGCGACAAAAAGCAACTCGGGGCTCATAATCCCGGGGCAGGAGAGGTTGAACACGCTGCATGTGGTATGGATGAAGCACATCACTTATTTGCTATTGCACACTTTGATACCGATCAGTACTCCTTCGTTTACTGCGCATCTTTACATGTTCGTGCTTGCTGATTTCGTACTGTTACTAATTTTGGATTCGTGAACTGGACTATTGATCGCTTGTGATTTGGATTTGGACTGTTTAATTGCTCTTCAAAACAACATTTGCTTTCCTTAGACTATCTTTGATAGTGTGATTGTGCAGTGCCGCTATGTCCGTGTACACCGTACAAGAATATGCTAACATGCACCTCATTTATGGGGAATGCAGATGCAACGCTAGTGCTGCAGCGAGACTTTACTGTGAGAGGTACCCGAATGCAGCTCGTCATCCAGATCATCGAGTGTTCACAAATGTGCACCGCTTACTGTTCTCAGAGGGCCAACTACCAAACCAATCACACGGTGAGGGAAGATCTTTCCTTCCTTAAGAAGACGTGGTGCTAGGAGCTGTCGAAGAAGACCCGAGTACTTCAGTGCGTGCAATAGAACTAAAAACAGGTGTGCTCAAAAGTGCAGCCCATAGAATCTTGCAAAAAACGTACAGCGTGTTCAAGCTCTTCTGCCCCGGGATTATGAGCCCCGAGTTGCTTTTTGTCGCACAATGTTAGGACGTGCCACTGAGTATTTACAGGGACATGTGGTTTTAGCATGATGGCTGCCCAGCGCACTATGCACTCTCAGTGAGAGAGTATCTCGATCAAAACTTTCCAGGCAGATGGATAGGGCGGTCTGGTACAATACCGTGGCCAGCCCGGTCACCAGATTTGAATCCGTTAGATTTTTTTTACTGGGGAACTGTAAAAGAAAAAGTGTATTTCAAGCCGATTCAAAATGTAGCTGAGCTACGGCAAAGACTATTGGAAGCAGCTGAGTTTGTTAATAACCGTGGATTCGCTCGTTTAATAACCCGATCTTTTTTAAGAAGATGTCGAGCGTGTATTGCCGCTGAAGGAAAACAGTTTGAGCATTTGCTGTAAAGGTAAATCATCATCAGCAGCATTTTGACGCCCACTGTTGTGCAAACAATTATCCATAATCGCTGTTTAATTAGGAAATTTTGAAAAATTTTCATCAGTTTTTTTTCAAATAAAAATTGTGCATAAGTTAACGAGTAATCTTCTAAGTGTTATACCATTTTGGAATCGTTATTAAATGCGCCAACTTTTAAGGTTACTTGCCAAACTCTCGTAGTACATTTTTTTCCAGTACAGCCAGTTAAAGTTGAGCAAAGTTTTACTTTGGAATACTTGGTTGGAAAATAAGTGGCAGTTTTTCCTGAACGAGAAAAGTTGGCAGTAAGGTTGAGACACCAGTTTGAAGATGCATTATTCATCATTACGTTGTAAAAATAAAATCCAAAAAAAGTTAATATTTGTAGTAACGGGAGTTGACAGACTGCCGTAGGGTGTGAAAGTTCTATATTTTTTTCAAAGACCTATAATTTTCAAAACACATACATAAAATTTTTTTAAATATTTTTCTGAAAGCTATTATGACTTTGCCTATCACCCGGTTTCGGCTTGACGTCGACTTCTGGGACACCCTGTAAATCTTTACCCAACCTAAGAAGGCGAGTTATGGGATCAGTCAAACCATAATTTGTTTTATGAAAGGGGACAAAGAAAATTTCAGTATGTCGCATTCTCCTATCATTCACGTTAAGTAATTTAATTTTTTTTTTCTAACAGTTGAGGACTTTTAATGTGACCATTGATAATTTTGCGCAAGAAAAGTAACTCAAACCCCCTGGGTCAAGAAGAGCATATTCATGCAGAGAAGAGTCAGTATAACTATAACTCCCATAGATTCTCAAAAAAAAAAAAATTCTGAGTTTGCCGAAAACAAACAGTATCTCAGCAAGGCATTCTTGTTGCGATAATTGTCTCTGAAAGTTGTAATAAATTATGGCGCGAAAATGTTCTCGGTTGAGTTCCATTTTTCTAATGACTTGGTGGCACTTAAAAATTCACTGTAGTGAGAACACTGCACGTATTGTTGTGAAACTTTGAATTTAAGTTTACTAAAGAGTGAGGTTCAGATTCAGTAATGACGTTCGATCCGCGCGGCCTACTATGTTTCTATATGCAAAACTTAAAAGAAATCCCTCGTATAAAAATTCAAAAGAAAAAAGTGACAGATCAACACAATAATAATAAACGGCTTTATTTTATCCTCAGCGAAATGGAGCCGTGGTGTTCCTCTTAACTGAAGGCCTGAATAATTACATTATAAATATTAACACTTTTAAACCTACAAAGTTGCGGGTAACAGCCTAGCTATAAGGAGGGAATCATTTCGAACCAGGACGACACTTCCCAATGACCACTAGATGGGTACTGACAAAATCGCTCAAATTATCATGGAGGTGGAAACCTTGCCTTGGAATGTACGAGATGCGGTGTTGCCAAGCGAAATGTTTCAATTGCCGTCCGTATATATACGTAAGCTAGATATTGCGGAAATTCGTTAACAACATTGGGAGACATTCGCTTTCCTCGATTGTTCTGCATTCATTTTCTATTCGTTGTTTTAGTTCATCCATATCAAATGGTTTGTGTTTATACACACTTCTCTCTCGCAAACATTGAAGTCAAGCCGTAAGACAAATTAGGTTTTTCAGTTTATGTATGAAATATATTGTTATAATAACTACTGATCCAGCAGTCTATTATTTAACACTCAATATAAAGGAAAAACTAACGACATATCCCAATCAGAATGTCAATGATACACAAAGTCACGGTAAAATATGATCGGTAGGTCGTTGAAAATTATTACTTTGCGCTTGCCATTTTGAGTAACACGTAATTACACGTACATTCCAAATAACGATAATAATTTCAATCATAATTAAATCTAGAAATCGTGATGTGTTGCTAATTAAAAATTCCTCCATTGTCGGGCTAGGCCTTGCGCGGATAGCCAGATAACAATCTGAAAAATACAATTATTAATTACAAAGTATTGTAAATCACGATTTCATATAAATTTTAGGTTATTACGCGGTATTGTGAGAGCGACAGTGGTAACCATGCATTACGTTGTAAATACAAAGGGATAGGTGACCTAAATACCGTTGATTTGATCTAACCTTAACAGATAGTGATAACAGAATAGATTTAAGATCAAGTCGAATATATTGATTTAAAATAATTGTTGGCAAGCTCAGAACAGCGAAAGGCATATTAGTGAGATCAAAGCGATTAAGCATTCCTTCTACATAAAAAAATAGCCTTAACGGGTAGTGATAACAGAAGAGATTTAAGATCAAGTCGAATATATTAATTTATAATGATTGTAGTCCAGCACAGAACAGCGAAAGGCATATTAATGAGATCAGAGCGATTAAGCATTCCTTCTACGTGAAAAAATAGCCTTAATGGGTAGTGATAACAGAAGAGATTTAAGATCAGGTCGAATATATTAATTTACAATGATTGTAGGCAAGCTCAGAACAGCGAAAGGCATATTAATGAGATCAGAGCGATTAAGCATTCCTTCTACGTGAAAAAATAGCCTTAATGGGTAGTGATAACAGAAGAGATTTAAGATCAAGTCGAATATATTAATTTATAATGATTGTAGGCAAGCTCAGAACAGCGAAAGGCATATTAATGAGATCAGAGCGATTAAGCATTCCTTCTACGTAAATGAATAACCTTAACGGGTAGTGATAACAGAAGAGATTTAAGATCAAGAGGAATATATTAATTTATAATGATTGTAGTCAAGCACAGAACAGCGAAAGGTATAGGAATGAGATCAGAGCGATTAAGCATTCCTTCTACGTAAAAAAATAACCTAAACGGGTAGTGATAACAGAAGAGATTTAAGATCAAGTCGAATATATTAATTTATAATGATTGTAGTCAAGCTCAGAACAGCGAAAGGCATATTAATGAGATCAGAACGATTAAGCATTCCTTCTACGTAAAAAAATAGCCTTAACGGGTAGTGATAACAGAAGAGATTTAAGATCAAGTCGAATATATTAATTTATAATGAACGTAGGCAAGCTCAGAACAGCGAAAGGCATATTAATGAGATCAGAGCGATTAAGCATTCCTTCTACGTAAATGAATAACCTTAACGGGTAGTGATAAGAGATTTAAGATCAAGAGGAATATATTAATTTATAATGATTGTAGTCAAGCACAGAACAGCGAAAGGTATAGGAATGAGATCAGAGCGATTAAGCATTCCTTCTACGTAAAAAAATAACCTGAACGGGTAGTGATAACAGAAGAGATTTAAGATCAAGTGGAATATATTAATTTATAATGATTGTAGTCAAGCTCAGAACAGCGAAAGGCATATTGATGAGATCAGAACGATTAAGCATCCCTTCTACGTAAAAAATAACCTTAACGGGTAGTGATAACAGAAGAGATTTAAGATCAAGTGGAATATATTAATTTATAATGATTGTAGTCAAGCACAGAACAGCGAAAGGTATAGGAATGAGTTCAGAGCGATTAAGCATTCCTTCTACGTGAAAAAATAGCCTTAACGGGTAGTGATAACAGAAGAGATTTAAGATCAAGTGGAATATATTAATTTATAATGATTGTAGTCAAGCTCAGAACAGCGAAAGGCATATTAATGAGATCAGAGCGATTAAGCATTCCTTCTACGTAAAAAAATAGCCTTAACGGGTAGTGATAACAGAAGAGATTTAAGATCAAGTCGAATATATTAATTTATAATGATTGTAGGCAAGCTCAGAACAGCGAAAGGCATATTGATGAGATCAGAGCGATTAAGCATTCCTTCTAAGTAAAAGAATAACGTTAACGGGTAGTGATAACAGAAGAGATTTAAGATCAAGTCGAATATATTAATTTAAAATAATTGTAGGCAAGCTCAGAACAGCGAAAGGCATATTAATGAGATCAGAGCGATTAAGCATTCCTTCTACGTAAAAAAATAACCTTAACGGGTAGTGATAACAGAAGAGATTTAAGATCAAGTGGAATATATTAATTTATAATGATTGTAGTCAAGCACAGAACAGCGAAAGGTATAGGAATGAGATCAGAGCGATTAAGCATTCCTTCTACGTAAAAAAATAACCTTAACGGGTAGTGATAACAGAAGAGATTTAAGATCAAGTCGAATATATTAATTTAAAATAATTGTAGGCAAGCTCAGAACAGCGAAAGGCATATTAATGAGATCAGAGCGATTAAGCATTCCTTCTAAGTAAAAAAATAACCTTAACGGGTAGTGATAACAGAAGAGATTTAAGATCAAGTCGAATATATTAATTTATAATGATTGTAGGCAAGCTCAGAACAGCGAAAGGCATATTAATGAGATCAGAGCGATTAAGCATTCCTTCTACGTAAAAAAAATAGCCTTAACGGGTAGTGATAACAGAAGAGATTTAAGATCAAGTCGAATATATTAATTTATAATGATTGTAGTCCAGCACAGAACAGCGAAAGGCATATTAATGAGATCAGAGCGATTAAGCATTCCTTCTACGTAAAAAAATAGCCTTAACGGGTAGTGATAACAGAAGAGATTTAAGATCAAGTCGAATATATTAATTTATAATGATTGTAGGCAAGCTCAGAACAGCGAAAGGCATATTAATGAGATCAGAGCGATTAAGCATTCCTTCTACGTAAAAAAAATAGCCTTAACGGGTAGTGATAACAGAAGAGATTTAAGATCAAGTCGAATATATTAATTTATAATGAACGTAGGCAAGCTCAGAACAGCGAAAGGCATATTAATGAGATCAGAGCGATTAAGCATTCCTTCTACGTAAATGAATAACCTTAACGGGTAGTGATAACAGAAGAGATTTAAGATCAAGAGGAATATATTAATTTATAATGATTGTAGTCAAGCACAGAACAGCGAAAGGTATAGAAATGAGATCAGAGCGATTAAGCATTCCTTCTACGTAAAAAAATAACCTGAACGGGTAGTGATAACAGAAGAGATTTAAGATCAAGTGGAATATATTAATTTATAATGATTGTAGTCAAGCTCAGAACAGCGAAAGGCATATTGATGAGATCAGAACGATTAAGCATCCCTTCTACGTAAACAATAACCTTAACGGGTAGTGATAACAGAAGAGATTTAAGATCAAGTGGAATATATTAATTTATAATGATTGTAGTCAAGCACAGAACGGCGAAAGGTATAGGAATGAGATCAGAGCGATTAAGCATTCCTTCTACGTGAAAAAATAGCCTTAACGGGTAGTGATAACAGAAGAGATTTAAGATCAAGTGGAATATATTAATTTATAATGATTGTAGTCAAGCTCAGAACAGCGAAAGGCATATTAATGAGATCAGAGCGATTAAGCATTCCTTCTACGTAAAAAAATAGCCTTAACGGGTAGTGATAACAGAAGAGATTTAAGATCAAGTCGAATATATTAATTTATAATGATTGTAGGCAAGCTCAGAACAGCGAAAGGCATATTAATGAGATCAGAGCGATTAAGCATTCCTTCTACGTAAAAAAATAACCTTAACGGGTAGTGATAACAGAAGAGATTTAAGATCAAGTGGAATATATTAATCTATAATGATTGTAGTCAAGTTCAGAACAGCGAAAGGCATATTGATGAGATCAGAGCGATTAAGCATTCCTTCTAAGTAAAAGAATAACGTTAACGGGTAGTGATAACAGAAGAGATTTAAGATCAAGTCGAATATATTAATTTAAAATAATTGTAGGCAAGCTCAGAACAGCGAAAGGCATATTAATGAGATCAGAGCGATTAAGCATTCCTTCTACGTAAAAAAATAACCTTAACGGGTAGTGATAACAGAAGAGATTTAAGATCAAGTGGAATATATTAATTTATAATGATTGTAGTCAAGCACAGAACAGCGAAAGGTATAGGAATGAGATCAGAGCGATTAAGCATTCCTTCTACGTAAAAAAATAACCTTAACGGGTAGTGATAACAGAAGAGATTTAAGATCAAGTCGAATATATTAATTTAAAATAATTGTAGGCAAGCTCAGAACAGCGAAAGGTATATTAATGAGATCAGAGCGATTAAGCATTCCTTCTAAGTAAAAAAATAACCTTAACGGGTAGTGATAACAGAAGAGATTTAAGATCAAGTCGAATATATTAATTTATAATGATTGTAGGCAAGCTCAGAACAGCGAAAGGCATATTAATGAGATCAGAGCGATTAAGCATTCCTTCTACGTAAATGAATAACCTTAACGGGTAGTGATAACAGAAGAGATTTAAGATCAAGTGGAATATATTAATTTATAATGATTGTAGTCAAGCACAGAACAGCGAAAGGCATATTGATGAGATCAGAGCGATTAAGCATTCCTTCTAAGTAAAAAAATAACCTTAACGGGTAGTGATAACAGAAGAGATTTAAGATCAAGTCGAATATATTAATTTATAATGATTGTAGGCAAGCTCAGAACAGCGAAAGGCATATTAATGAGATCAGAGCGATTAAGCATTCCTTCTACGTAAATGAATAACCTTAACGGGTAGTGATAACAGAAGAGATTTAAGATCAAGAGGAATATATTAATTTATAATGATTGTAGTCAAGCACAGAACAGCGAAAGGTATAGGAATGAGATCAGAGCGATTAAGCATTCCTTCTACGTAAAAAATAACCTAAACGGGTAGTGATAACAGAAGAGATTTAAGATCAAGTCGAATATATTAATTTATAATGATTGTAGTCAAGCTCAGAACAGCGAAAGGCATATTAATGAGATCAGAACGATTAAGCATCCCTTCTACGTAAAAAATAACCTTAACGGGTAGTGATAACAGAAGAGATTTAAGATCAAGTGGAATATATTAATTTATAATGATTGTAGTCAAGCACAGAACAGCGAAAGGTATAGGAATGAGTTCAGAGCGATTAAGCATTCCTTCTACGTGAAAAAATAGCCTTAACGGGTAGTGATAACAGAAGAGATTTAAGATCAAGTGGAATATATTAATTTATAATGATTGTAGTCAAGCTCAGAACAGCGAAAGGCATATTAATGAGATCAGAGCGATTAAGCATTCCTTCTACGTAAAAAAATAGCCTTAACGGGTAGTGATAACAGAAGAGATTTAAGATCAAGTCGAATATATTAATTTATAATGATTGTAGGCAAGCTCAGAACAGCGAAAGGCATATTGATGAGATCAGAGCGATTAAGCATTCCTTCTAAGTAAAAGAATAACGTTAACGGGTAGTGATAACAGAAGAGATTTAAGATCAAGTCGAATATATTAATTTAAAATAATTGTAGGCAAGCTCAGAACAGCGAAAGGCATATTAATGAGATCAGAGCGATTAAGCATTCCTTCTACGTAAAAAAATAACCTTAACGGGTAGTGATAACAGAAGAGATTTAAGATC